TTTTTTCACTATTATATTCCTAAAATCTGAAACAGTGCCCAAACCTCAATAAATACTTGCTGAGTTCATTCACTCATGCATTTATTCAATTAATTGCCTTTAGAAATCAGACTCTATCTACCAATAATCAAATGTCATATCTAAAGTGGGTAGGATCAAAGTTTAGTCTTTACCCAGGTATGCTAGATCTTCAGTGGATTCCATTAAGGAGGCAGCAATATACTAAACCAATAATACACTTCTAGTCTCTAAAATTATCCTTTGGTGCTCCCATCAATAAAACAAAAAGAAATTATAGTTTAATAATTAAAAGGTGATCAATTACTCATTTTCAAAGAAATGTCCAAATTACATTCAAAATGAGTATCAAACCAATCCAGAATGTATTGACAAAGAATACTGTTTATTTAGCGCCAAACTGTCAATACTTTTTTGGTTATGATCCTGACATGTTCCCTGGCATAGTATTCTGAGAAACTGCCACAAAATGAGAATCTAAAAAATGTGTATGTTTGTATCTTTCTAAGCAGTCCTACAAAGTACCTGAAGGTAAGCACACTGACCTATTCTATGTCAGTATCGCACACATCTTTTCAATTGTCTTTTCCCCAATAATTATGACAGATTCATTCTGAAATATACTCATCCTATTCCCAACTCCTTTTTGTAAACAAACACGGGAAAAATGGCTGGCTTGGAATAACACTGCAGATGGCCACTGTACATGGTCCAATATTACACAACTCTGGGAGTTCCACAGACGTCATACATGGATTATGAAGTAAATGTTAATACTGCAAACACCCCATCCTGCCCTGGAGTTGTGCAGTGTTCACCTCTGGGTCTGCTCAGAACTAATCGGCCTAAATTGTAACTAAAATTAGTGATCTTTCCTCTCGGAAAAATTCAAAATTACAGAGCTAATCAATCCCAGACAATGAGATATGAACTAACTCACATTAAAATAATATCCTCAAAACATCTGCCAGTAACTAAAATATGGAGAAGGTGTTAGACACATAACCATCTTAAAATGACTCTACATGGTAGGCCACAATTCCCCCTTCTTTAATAGGCAGTAGGTTTTCTGGTGAAGGATAAAAAACTTGATATCCACAATGATCTTACAGCACCCTCGTGTGGATAAATATTTGCCAATGTTTTTCTTAAAGAGATGTGTTAATCTGTGATATGAAAAATAAAAAGAGAAGGTTGTATAATCCTTTCAAACAAAGATTACTGGATGAGTGAGCCCTTATCAGAACAAGTCTGAATTATTTCCTTAAAAATGAGGATGGATTTTTGGCTGACCTAGCCATATTTTCCAGTATTCCTTATTCTTCCTTAAGTTAACCCAAGGTGACTCCAAATATAATTCTCAATAGAACAAAGTGAATTACCTTCTAAGTGAATTACCTTACGGTTGAAAGAGTACTAGATATACAGTAAGATAATATGGATTCTAAAGTTTGCTTCTGAACAAATTCTTAACATTCTTATATCTATATTTTAATTTTTTTAAATGGCAGAGTAGAAACAGCAGAAGCGACTAGTTGGTGGCATCCTAGTATAGTCAAGATTCTTTTGGTTCCACACCATAAACTTACTCAAGCTGGCTTAAGCAACAAAAATGGATTTTCTTAAGGAAAAAAAATAGAAAAAAACACTGAAAAATTAAAGAGAAGAGTATTAACATACTCATGGTCTTATTTGGTCCTACCCACACTTTCCTGATACAAACATCTTATCCTCAACCCCAGATGAGGATGATGCTTTTTTAAATTGTTTACATCAGATTCAAGAATTACAAAGAACCTGTTTACAGATTTCTTATATAATCACAGATTATTTGTATAAGTCCTTCCCACGTGATAATAAACAAGTTTCTGAGGTCCAGATAGACTTCATCTTTTGCATACTGTATTACTAGCAGCTCTGCATGTTATTTTGGGAAACTTGGGGGATCCAAGAAAAGCTAATTTGGGATATGCTGCTTTTGCCTTTGCTTTATGTGGTTACCTTGCTCTGGCTGAGTTTTTATGTTCTTTGCTTTAAAAAAATCAGGCATTTAACCTGTGTATGTGTGTGTGTGTGTGTGTGTGTTCTCACACAGAGGAAATAGGGGTCTCTTCCCACCAATCTACAGCCTATCTGTAATGATGTATATAACTAAAATGTCCATAACTAAAATAACCCTACCACCTCAATTTCATATTTATTGTGTCCAAAAGACACCCTGCTTTTCCACATCTCTACTTCTTTAATCATATTACTCCCTCCCCTCCCTGGAATGCACTTGCCTTCTCTTCTCCTCCTTACCCCCATCAACTCTCATTACCTCATCCCCCAAGAAAAATAAGGGATCTAAGCAAACACCTAGTAGGCGTCCATAACAACAGTACTTACCATGTGTCACATTTCTTCTTATCTCTAATCTTCTTTTGGACTGTGTATCACTCAAGAATCAGGAGTTTTTTTCATCTTTATATTTCCAGGGCCTAAAGAGTATTTGTTAAGAGATGTACATATATATTTATTTAAAAATGGAATTTGATATTACAATAAAAATAGGCCCAGGATCTAAACACCAAAGATCTGAATGTCTTGAATCCTTTCTCTCTTTCCTTCCCATATAGTCACATGATGATTCATAATGCTTAATCTGGAAAACTTACTGGAAAAGATTTTTTAAAGATCCTTTTAAGGTCAAACCGGTAAACAAAAATATTGCAGGAAGAACTGAAAAGTAAAGTGTTTTCTTTCTATGTCCACCTTGAAAAATCCCGTCTGTGGGACTAGTTTCTCCAAGATGAAAAGCAACTAATCCCCTCACTTCCTCTCCTCACTCCCTCCAGTCCTATGTCAAAGATCCAATTTTCAGTTCCCTTAAAAGTCAAAGGATATCTATCCCAGCAGAAAATTCATTCAAAAAATTTGTAACTGTAAAAGGCTCAATCCCATCCTGTGAAAGCAGTACTTGAAAAATGAAGAACAAGATTGCCTCTGGCCCTTAACTATTGTAACTACCTCCATTTAAGGCTGGCACTAAGCAAAGATAAGATCCAGCCTGAGTTTTTATTACACCTGCTTGAAGCTGTTGGTTTTTTTCCTTTCTCATCACTACTGTGTATACAGCAAGCATTTGATAAATTTCACTCTGGAAGAATACTGCTTTCCCTCTAAAAGCAGTTACTTATTCCTGTTTTCATGGTTATACCACAGCAATTTTAGATGTTCAAGACATGGTGTGGTTGGAGTTTACGCTGGTGTTAAAGTCAGGAAAAACACTAGACAGATTCCATAGTGATGAAGACATGTGCTACTCAAGAATGGCTTCACAAGGTGGCCTTCTCAGACTAGGTGCTACTGTCTGGCATCTGCTTCTCAGACACTGGGCTTCTCAGTCCCTCTGGAGATATTTAGATCCTCAATAACAGATCAACTCTAACTAAAATCACCTATTTACCAGAATATCTATATAGTTAATTTTTAGTGGTTGCCTTTCAGTGGTAATTCCCTCTTTCCCAATAACAGCCATTCTCTAGTTATAGCTTAATCCAAGTCAGTCTGTGCCATTTATCAAACTTTCCTGATGTGCCCATAGTGGCTTAAAATTTATTATCTTTTAAACTTGCATTCTTCTTTGTTGCATCTTCTCAAGTCTCAGTAAACTATTTGCCTGGATTTTTCACAAAAATAGTGTGGAGGCATACACTATATTCTGGGCTAGGTCTTTTTTTTAATTTTTTAAAACGTTTTATTTCTGAGAGAGAAAGAGAGAGAGCCTCTCTCAGAGGGAGAGGGAGATACAGAACCTGAAACAGCCTCCAGGCTCTGAGCTAGCTGTCAGCACAGAGCCCGATGCGGGGCTCAAACCCGCAAACCCTGAGATCATGACCTGAGCCGAAGTAGGACCTTAACCGAATGAGCTACCCAGGCGCCCCTGGGCTGGGTTTTCTATCCAAGTAGTGAGACAACGAAAGCTGGAGAGGAGGTAGAATAACTGCTACCATTTATTTTTGTTCAAGAGGACTATACTAAACTATACATACTTACGTGGAGCAGATTTTAACATATTGAAATAAAACAAAGCTATAATATCTCAAAATCAGAGTAAGTTAGATCTTCTATATGATAAAAATACTCTTCAGCAATTGTGTCTGTGAAGATCTATTCAGACCTATGTTTGAATCCTAACTCTAACCTTTTCGCAGGTGGGTAGCATTGAGCAATTTATTGAGACTCTTGGGATTGCTTTCTCAATCTCTAAAGAGAGAGTATAAGGAGTTAAAGCGTTAGGTTCTAAAGTCATTAACTTAGGTGGTGGGGAGCCTAAACCACAATTATATTTGAAAATCACTTGAATTACCCATAAATACAGTATATTGACTTTAATGTACATAACACTGCAAAGTAAATCTAATGAGCACTAAATCTTTAGAAATCACTTAAAGAAATAAAAGAGAAATGTATGTATGCATATGCCTACAGACATTAAAGCCATTCTGATTTTAAGCTAACTCTAAAATCGACACAGTGAATGGAGTATGGATGGAGAACACAACTCCAGTACTTAATAAATGCTAGTGTCCTTCCTTTCTTCTGGCCTTAGACTACCAGAACTCTCCCAGAGCACTCACTCTAACGTGGTTGTGTGTGAGACGTAGAGAAGGGCTTATGCCACGAATACTCTGGAGGAAGAACCTTTGTAACTCGTATGGGGTTCTCACCTTAGCAATGGCACTTAAAATCGCCTCAATAAGTAGGAAGGTTTATTATTATTTAGAGTCAGGTCCATTTCAACGTAATAACATCACAAAACTTCTGAAAAACTTTCTTAAACAGCACTACCTCGGAGGCGCAGACCGCCCTTAGTTCAGGATATGCTTAGCCCAGTGCTGCCGGCTTCCGTAGTCTCGCCCCATTTCGCGAGACCGAAGCTGAGCTCCTCCGCGCCGCCGCTTGGGGCGAACAGGAACACTTCCGGCAGGCAACTGGTTAAGAGTGATGTGCGCTTCCGGCGGCTTCCCGGCTGTTTCCTCAGCCACAGGGGCCGCCAGGCTGAAGTGGTGAGCGCAGAACGGCGTGGGGGCGGGGGGCGCCTAGCAGCCCACCTGTCATTGGGTCCAGCAGTCTTTAGCCATGGACCGGGACCTTCTGCGGCAGTCACTGAATTACCACGGGCCGTCATTGCTCTCCCTTCTCCGAAGCGAACAGCAGGACAATCCGCACTTCCGGAGTCTCCTGGGGTCAACAGCAGAGCCGGCCCGGGGCCCGCCGCCCCAGCAGCAGTTACAGGGCAGGTAATGGTCCGGCGCCGCCGCTGCGAGACGGGGGAGGGGACGCAGGTCAGGGCCCCACTACCGCCGCCGGGTGGCTGAGTCCTGGAGAAGCAGAGCAGCGGCCGCGAGCATGTGAGGATTGCCGCGCTGGTGCCGAGGGCTGGATGGAGGAGGGTCCGCGCTCCGGGTGTGAGGGAAACGCGGGATGTGGAGCGAACTTTTCTCCCTGTACTGCCTAGCAGAGGCACGGAGTCTTCATCCAAAATCCCTTGGGCTTTCGTTTACCCGGAGCTGCGGGCGTTACTTTTTAACATTCCCCGCCCCCCATCTACTGGCTGGCGAATGAGGGAATCCCTGGTTAAAACTTTTTCGCAGAGGAAGTGCGGCCCAGAGCTTAGGAGGAATCCTATTGGGCAAGGAAAGCCAAGGGCATAAGCTTGGACTTGCTAACAAAGGCTTTACCCATAAACCAGTTTTCATAAATTTTGTTGGTTTTTTTTTTTTTTTGAAGAAAAGAGAAGAGAGTTGACAACATTGAAATACAAAAATTCATTTCCAAAAAGGCGGATTTGCTTTTTGCACTTTCCTGGAAAGCAGATGCACCTGCAACTTCTGACGTCAATGAAGACAATGAAGGTGAGCTTTGTTAATAATTTGATTGCGGTTTGGGTTGTTTTAATGGCATTTGAGAAACAAACACAAAGCTGTTGTAATTTCGTAAAATTTTTTTTTCAGACGGTTATGCAATTATGCCACCTTTAGAGCAGTTCATGGAGATCCCTAGCGTGGACCGGAGAGAGCTGTTTTTCCGAGATATTGAGCGTGGTGATATAGTGATTGGAAGAATTAGTTCCATTCGGGAATTTGGGTTTTTTATGGTGTTGATTTGTTTAGGCAGTGGCATCATGAGAGATATATCCCACTTAGAAATCACAGTAAGTTACTTTTCAGTTATTTAATTGCTTCTGTTTTTGATAAGAGTCATCGCAGTGCAAGAATTGTGTCTTTGCTTCCAGTTATGCTTAAGTGTACCCTGCTGACATATTTTCGAGGAATAAATATTGGAGAAAAAATACTCTTTCTTTTTGAAAGAGCGGTGATATAGTTACTTCCATAGTTTCCTCCATTTATGGTTTGGGGGGTATATCTGGTCCCTTTGGTTGGCAGGAGTAGGTTCCTTCTTTAAATGCGCAAAGAGATATTAGTGGATGTGGTGAGATTGAGTGGTATCACAGGCTTATTTCTTTTAGCTGAACATGTTCCTAATTATTTAGTATTTGGCACTAGATCCTTGCATGTGGATAATTTAGAAACAAATTTCTTTTATTTTTAAGGTAGGTAAATGTAAATGATTTGTAGTTATAATAAGATACTTTGCCCAAGATGAATTGTCTTGAATTTGAAATAATGTGTCAATTTAAAAGGTTTGGTATTTGCTGCCTGTCAGTGTAGACGATAGGGGAAGAAAAGCAGAAGGTATCACAGACTGGATAACAGACATAAACTTTGGAGAATTTGCACTTAGTTTTCACTGGAATTCTCATACTTTCTCAACAGTTTTAGTTTTGTTTTTAACAGGCACAAAATATCTGTGTGTTTCATAGTCCCTACTTATATTTGGTTCCTTGAACGAATTGCAAATTTCATGAGATTTTAGTTTTTGAACTGAACCAGAGATCTTCTTGTTCTGTGTGCACAGAAGTTGCTTATAATTAAAATCCTTATTTAAATTTAGATTTTAAAGTGTTGGTTTTTTAATGTTCATGTCAACTATTAGCTCATTGTACTGAACAACTAGGATAAAAGATATTTTTCACCAAAGAATGGAATGTCTGGTATTTTAAAATACTTCTCATTGCAGGCTCTTTGTCCATTAAGAGATGTACCTTCTCACAGTAACCACGGGGATCCTTTATCATATTACCAAACTGGTGACATTATTCGAGGTGATCAGTTTCATCCTATTAATAAAAAAGTAACAGTTGTCAGATTTTTGTTTATATTAATTTTGAAAATCTATCTAATGAGAGAAGAGTTTGGAAAAATATATGTGTTTTTATGTTAGTTTGCATTTTTTTAATCAGCTTAGTTTCTTTATTTTTTTTAAGCTGGAATCAAAGATATTGACAGATACCATGAAAAGCTTGCAGTGTCTCTATATAGTTCATCTCTTCCACCACATCTGTCTGGTATCAAATTAGGTGTAATTAGTTCTGAAGAGCTACCTTTGTACTACAGGTAATTTATCCACATTATTTCAACAAATTAATTGCAAAAGTTGCTTGATTTAAAATAGCAAATTGTGTCCAACTTGTGACAGCAAAGTAGAAAATTAATTTCTTGTATTTCAAAATATGCTCATTTTTATAACCCTTAAGTAAAAGAAACCAAAATAATATTACCACACCTTCATGTAAAAAAATGATATGAGTATTTCTTTAATAGAAGTGGAACATGCCAATTATGTTAGTCATTTTTATGTTTTTGTTTATGTGTGTTTTGTTTTTTTAAGGAAAAGTGTTGAACTAAATAGCAATTCTTTGGAATCTTATGAAAATATCATGCAGAGTTCCTTGGGATTTGCTAATCCAGGAGTAGTTGAATTCCTTCTGGGAAAACTAGGAATAGATGAATCTAATCCACCATCTTTAATGCGAGGCTTACAGAGGTATAGTAAGTTAGTTCTTATTCTTTTAAGTGGTGAATAAATGGTGCTGAGATCAAAAGCTATATAACCAAGGAACATATTTGACTATTCTAAGCCGCTATGAGTAAACTAGATGATCCCATCTCCTTCCGGAATGGAGTCTGTTGTGATTATATGTGTAGAGAACGATGCAGAAGTTTTATAAGAATTTTAGGTTAAAAATACTGTTTAACAATATAGTCATTCTTGAGAGTTTCAGAACATTGTTTTGTACATGGAATACAGATCTCTTGCCTGTAATTTACTTTTTCAGTATTGAAGTTTTATCTGTCATAGTGAAGTATTGTTACCAAAAAAAAAGTATACAGTTTGACTTTTGTTTTCTTTGAATAGCAAAAATTTCTCTGAAGATGATTTTGCTTCTGCATTAAGAAAGAAACAGTCTGCATCTTGGGCTTTAAAATGGTATGAAACTTTATCTTTCCAACAATTGCATTGTCTAGTATAAAGGTTAGGATAAGGCAGGCATTTTTAAGTCCTTATTAATACCAAATTTGTTTAGAAATGAATTAGAATGATACGTTTTTGACATTAACTTTTATATAGGTGTGAATGGTGTTGTAAGCTTAACAGAAGTAAGTTTTAACCAACATTTTCCATGTTTTCAAAAGAGTATATTGATATGGATTTCATAAATATTTGTTATGAACTTATCAAAAGGCAGAATACTGTCTGTGTATTGAGAGCATTGCAGACTAAATATTAGCCAAATTAGATTTGTTTTAAAAGTTTATCTGTGCTAACATTATGTTTAGATATTCTGAAAAATGCATGTGATGGTTTACAAATGTCTTTTTAGTGTGAAGATTGGAGTTGACTATTTTAAGGTTGGACGCCATGTAGATGCAATGAATGAGTATAATAAGGCTCTGGAAATAGACAAACAAAATGTGGAAGCTTTGGTAGCTCGTGGAGCATTGTAAGTGGATCTTGGCTTTTAAGGAATATTTATAAGGTAAATGAATATAAGATTTACTAATAGTTCACAAGATAAATTCCTCTAATTTATTTCATATCTCTAGATACGCAACAAAAGGAAGTCTGAACAAAGCAATAGAAGATTTTGAGCTTGCATTGGAAAACTGTCCAACTCATAGGAATGCAAGAAAATACCTCTGCCAGACACTTGTAGAAAGAGGAGGGCAGTAAGTATCAGATTTTTAAAAATATTAAGTAGAGATCTAATATTCAACCAACTACTATAAAATCTTAAACTTAAGGAAGTAGCATCTTTAACTCATTAATTCAGAACACTCCTAATTTTAATTTTGATTGAAAATGATTTTTAAATATAGTCCTTTTTAAACTTTTTAGTCTTTTTTTTCCCCTCATTACTGAGGTTCTTTATGATAGGAAGTTGAAGATATTTTAGTGTCTTGAGTTCATTGTTTTGAATATTCTCATTACGTAGAAATGTAAATGAAAGACCCAAAAATTAGGTTAAGTATTCTTTCTTGTACACACACAAGAAGTTTTTGTTTTAATAGAGAGGAATTTGATTTCTAATTCATTTCATCATTCTAGCAGTATAATGCCAGAAGTATGAGTTGCTATTCAGGTTATTGCTCTGCTCTGTGCACTAAAATCCACAAACTCAGGTTAAATGGAAGAGCAAGTCATTAAGAACAAACCCTATTAACTTGTTACTATCCTGAGATGCTGGTATACTACTTGGCATTGTTGTATCATAAATATATATGATAACATGAATGACTAATAGGTTAGGCTAATTTATAAAATGTTGTGAAGAAACATAATATTCCAGTATAAATATTTTTGGTAATACCCTACTTCAGTAACTAAAAACCAATTTGTTATTAATACCATCTTTTTGCAACTAATTTTTTAAATAGAATTACTACTTTTCTGTTTCGTGAATTTGCCTAATTAATCCAGTTTTATGGTCATTCCATAATTCTAAATTAAGAGTTTTATAATATTTGTTTTCAACTTCAAGGACTTCTTTTGGACCCAAGTGACTGGATCACCTTCTTACTTTCTTATTAGGGAGATAACTACTTAGATATGGTTATCTTACTACCCACATATAGGTGTTCAGCTGAGGGGATGGTAACACCATGTATATGTTATCCAAGCCAAAAATGTTGATAGTCTTCAGCTGGTCCTTTATTGCCCAAATCCAGAGATACAGAATTGATCCCATTGAAACCTTTGGGTTTTTGTGTTTTGTTTTTTTTCGTTTCACAGTATTTACTTTTTTATGCTTTTGAAAAACTGAAAATACTTTGCAAATCCTTTCTGCTTTGTATCCAAAGTTGTATCCAACTTTCTAATTCTGATTTTTCATAGTGTAGATATATGTAATCTAGTACTTCTTTCTATAGCCTGGTTGAGATGCACATATATATGTTGGTATTTCCAACTTCATCAGTGAATATTCTAGGAAAAATTTTCATAAACTACTGAAAAAGCCAATGTATGTAATTCTTTTTTTTTTTTTTAATTTTATTCATTCAGTTCTTCCTTCATTCATTTATATTGAGACAGAGAAAGAATCCCAAGCAGGCCCTGAGCTGTTAGCACACAGAGCCTAATGCGGGGCTTGATCCCAAGAACCTTGGGTTCGTGGCCTGAGCCAAAATCAGGAGTCGGACTCGTAAATTTTTTTTTTTTTATTCATACACTTTGCTTTTTTTTCTTTCCTAGTTTATTGTCAGGTTGGATTCCATATAAAACCCAGTGCTCCTCTTAACAAGTGCCCTCTTCCATGACCATCACCCCCCTTCCCTTCTCCTCCACCCCCATCAGCCCTCAGTTTGTTTTCAGCATTCAGGTCTCATGGTTTGCCTCCCTCCCTCTCCCCAACTATTTTTCCCTTTCTCCTCCCCATGATCCTCCATTAAATTTCTCCTAATCCTCCTATAAGTGAAAGCATATGGTATCTGTCCTTTTCTGTCTGACTTAATTCACTCACCATAACACCCTCAAGTTCCATCCATATTCCTACAAATGGCCTGATTTCATTCTTTCTCATGCCATGTAGTATTGCATTGTATAAATATACCACATCTTCTTGGTCCATTCATCAGTTGATGGACACTTAGGCTCTTCCATGTTTTGGCTATTGTTGAGAGTGTTGCTGTGAACATTGGGGTCCATGTGCCCCTATGCATCAATACTCCTGTACCCCTTGGGTAAATTCTTAGCAGTGCTACTGCTGGGTCATAGGCAAGTTCTATTGTTAATTTTTTAAGGAACCTCAACACTGTTTTCCAAGGGGCTGCACCAGTTTACATTCCCACCAACAGTATAGGAGGGTGCCCATTTCTCCACATCTTCACCAGCATCTAGAGTCTCCTGATTTGTTCGTTTTAGCCACTCTGACTGGCGTGAGGTGGTATCTCAGTGTGGTTTTGATTTGTATTTCCCTGATGAGGAGAGATGTTGAGCATCGTTTCATGTGTCTGTTGGCCATCTGGATGTCCTCTTTGGAGAAGTGTCTGTTCATGTCTTCTGCCCATTTCTTCACTGGATTATTTGTTTTTTGAGTCTGGAGTTTGGTGAGTTCTCAAAGATTTTGGGTACTAGCCCTTTATCTAATATGCCATTTGCAACTATCTTTTCCCATTCCGTCGGTTGCCGGTTAGTTTTATTGATCGTTTTCTTTGCTGTGCAGAAGCTTTTTATCTTGATGAGGTACCAGTAGTTCATTTTTACTCTTGATTCCCTTGCCTTTGGAGATGTGTCAAATAAGAAGTTGCTGTAATTGAGGTCAAGGAGGTTGTTTCCTGCTTTCTCCTCTAGGGTTCTGATAGTTTCCTGTCTTACATTCAGGTCCTTTATTAATTTTGAGTTTATTTTTGTCTGTGGTGTAAGAGAGTGATCCAGTTTCATTCTTCATGTTACTGTCCAGTTCTCCCAGCACCATCTGTTAAAGAGGCTGTCTTTTTTCCATTGGATACTCTTTCCCGCTTTGTCAAAGGTTAATTGGCTGTACATTTGTGGGTCCAATTCCAAGTTCTCAATTCTGTTCCATTGGTCAGTGTGTCTGTTTTAGTGCCAATACCATACTGTCTTGATGATTACAGCTTTTAGTAGAGGCTAAAGTCTGGGATGGTGATGCCTCCCATTTTGGTTTTCTTCTTCAGTATTACTTTGGCTATTCAGGGTCTTTTGTGGTTCCAAACAAATTTTAGGATAGTTGTTCTAGGTTTGAGAAGAATGCTGGTGCAATTTTGATGGGATTGCACTGAATGTGTAGATTACTTTGGGTAGTAATGACACCTTAACAATGTTTATTCTTCCGATCCATAAGCATGGGATGTTTTTCCATTTCTTTGTGTCTTCTTCAATTTTTCATAAGTGTTCTATAGTTTTCGTCATACAGATCTCTTGTATCTTTGGTCAGGTTTATTCCTAGGTATTGTTTCCTGTGCAGTTGTGAATGGGATCAGTTTCTTGATTTCTCTTTCTGTTGGCTTCATTATTGCTGTATAAAAATGCAAATGATTTCTGTACATTGATTTTGTACCCTGCAACTTTGCTGAATTTATGGATCAGTTCCAGTAGGCTTCTCCTGGAGTCTGTCAGGTTTTCTATGTAGATTATCATGTCATCTGCGAAAAGTGAAAGTTTGACTTCTTTGCCAATTCTGATGCCTTTGATTTCCTTCTGTTGTCTGATTGCTGATGCTAGGACTTCCAGCACTGTGTTAAACAACAGTGGTGAGAGTGGACATCCCTGTGGTGGTCCTGATCTCAGGGGGACAGCTCTCAGTTTTTCCCTATTGAGGATGTTAGCTGAGGGCTTCTCCTAGATGGCCTTTGATGATGTTAAAGTAAGTTCCTACTATCCCGACTTTCTCAAGCATCTTGTTGAGGATTTTTGCATCCGTATTCATCAAGGATACTGGCCTGTAGTTCCCTTTTTTTGCTGGGTCTCTGTCTGGCTTGGGAATCAAAGTGATGCTGGCTTTGTAAAATGAGTCCAGAAGTTTTCCTTCTGTTTCTATTTTTTCAGAATAGCTTGAGAAGAATGGGTATTAACTCTGATTTAAATGTCTGGTAGAATTCCCCAGGGAAGCCCTCAGGTCCAGGGCTTTTATTTGTTGGGAGATTTTTGATAACTGATTCAATTTCTTCACTATTTATGGGTCTGTTCAGATTTTCTGTCTCTTCCCGTGTGAATTTTGCTACTGTGTGTGTGTTTAGGGACTTGTCCATTACTTCTAAGTTCAGTTTGTTGGCATATCGTTTTTCACAGATTTCCCTGATAACTGCTTGTATTTCTGAGGGATTGGTTGTAATAAGTCCATTTTCATTCATGATTTTGTCTGTTTGAGTGTTCTGTCTTGTCTTTTTGAGAAGCCTGGCTAGAGGTTTGTCGATTTTATTGTTTCAAAAACCAATTCTTGTTTCATTGATCTGTTCAACTGGTTTTTTGGGATTCTATATTATTTATTTCTGCTCTGATTTTTATTATTTCTCTTCTTCTGCTGGTTGTGGGGTGCTCTTTTTGTTCTCCCTCTAGTTCCTTTAGTGCGTTGTTAGATTTTTACTTGCACTTTTTCTAATTTCTCGAAATAGGCCTGGAGTGCAATGTACTTTCCTCTTAGGACTGCCTTTGCTGCATCCTGTAGAGTTTGGATTGTTGTATTTTCATTTTCGTTTGTTTCCATATATTTTTTAATTTCTTCTCTAATTGCCTGATTGGCCCATTCATTCTTTAGTAGCGTGTTCTTTAACTTCCATGTTTTTGGAGTTTTTCTAGACTTCTTCTTGTGATTGATTTCAAGTTTCATAACATTGTGACCTGAAAGTGTGCATAGTATGATCTCAATTCTTTTATATTTATTGAGGGCCGCTTTATGTCCCAGTATGTGATCTGTCTTGGAGAATGTGCCATGCGCACTTGAGAAGGAAGTGAATTCCATGGCCTCAGTATGTAGAGTTCTAAATACATGTCAGATCCATCTGGTCCAATGTGTCATTCAAGTCCATTGTGTGTCTTCAGTGATTTTTCTCTCTAGTTGATGTATCCATTGCTGTAAGTGGAGTATTAAAGTCCCCTGTTATTAGCACATTCTTATCTATAAGATTGTTTCTGTTTGTGATTGTTTTATATATTTAGGTGCTTCCATATTGGGTGCATAGACATTTATAATTGTTAGCTCTTCCTGATGGATAGACCCTGTAATTATTATATAATGCCCTTCTTCATCCCTTGTTACTGCCTTTACTTTAAAATCCAGTTTTTCTGATAAGAGTATGGCTAGTCCAGCTTTCTTTTGACTTCCAATAGCATGTATATATTTCTCTATCCCCTTACTTTCAATCTGAAGGTGTCCTCAGGTCTAAAATGAGTCTATTATAGACAGCAAATAGATGGATTTTTTTTTAATCCATTATGCCACCCTGTGTCTTTTGATTGGAGCATTCAGCCCATATACATTCAGTGTTATTGAAAAATATGGGTTTAGAGTCATTGTGTTCTTTGTATGATTCATGCTTGTGGTGGTGTCTCTGGTACCTTGCATTCCTTGCAACATTTCCCTCATAGAGTCCCCCTCAGGCTTTCTTGTAGGGCTGGTTTAGTGGTGACAAATTCTTTCAATTTTTGTTTATTTGGGAAGACTTTTATCTCTTTCTATTCTGAATGACAGGCTTGCTGGATAGAGGATTCTTAGCTGCGTATTTTTTTCTGTTCATCACATTGAAGATTTCCTGCTCTTCTTTTCTGGCCTGCCAAGATTCAGCAGATAGGTCTGCAACTGCTCTGATAGGTCTCCCTTTGTATGTTAATGGCCCTTTTATCCCTCCCTGGTTGCTTTCAGAATTCTCTCTTTGTCCTTCTATTTTGCCAGTCTCACTATGATATGTCATGCAGATCAATTCAATTTACGTCTGAGGGGAGTTCTCTGTGCCTCTTGGATTTTAATGTCTGTTTCCTTCCCTAGATTGGGAAAGTTCTCAGCTATAATTTGTTCAAGTACTCCTCAGCGCTTTTCTCTTTTCCTCTTCTGAAATTCCTGTGATAGGGATATTGATATGGATATTGTTCCCTTTGATTGTATCACTCAAGTCTCAAACTCTCCTTTCGTATTCCTGGATCAGTTTATCTCTCTTTTTCTTGGCTTCCTCTTTTTCTATAATTGTGACTTCTAATTCACCTATTGCCCTCTCTGCCTCTTCAGTCTGTGAATTGGACACCTCCACTTTATTATGCACCTCATTTATAGCAGTTTTTAATTCATCACCACTATTTTTAAGCTCCATACTCTTTGTAGCAATAGCTTCTCTCATGTCTTCTATGCTTTTTTCAAGCCCAGCAATTAATTTTATAACTATTCTAAATTCTTGTTCAGTTATGTTGCTTATATGTGTTTTGAGCAGCTCTTTAGCTGCCATTTCTTCCTGGAATTTCTTTAGAGGAGAGTTCTTCCATCTCATCATTTTGACTATCTTTCTTTCTCTTGTTAGTGATTTTTTGGGGGTTTGTTTTGTTTTGTTTTTTAGTGTTTGTTTATTTCTGAGAGAGAGAGAGAGACACACAGAATCTGAAGCAGACTCTAGGATCTGAGCTAGCCGTCAGCACAGAGCCTGACATGGGGCTCAAACCCACGAACTGTGAGATCATGACCTGAGCTGAAGTCAGTTGCTTAACTGTCTGAGCCACCCAGGCGCCTCTGTCTCTTGTTAGTTTTAAAAGCTTGTTATGCACTCTGCACCTGTGAGTACTGCTATATTAAGGAAGGCTTATTGACTTTCTGGGGCCTATGTGTTCAGGAAGTGTTCTTTTAATGTTGTCTCCTGTTCTCTCGTTGTTTGGTTATTTTATTTCCCTACTTGTAGTGGTATTGGGGACTCTCCACCATGTGTACTTAGTCTTGTTTCTTGAGGTAGCCCTGGAAGAGAAATCATACAAACACACAGGGAACAAAGGCATGCAGACGTATGGACAAATCCAACAAATGAGCAAACTGAAAGGGAATAAGAAGATAAGAAGAAGGGAAAAAAAACCCAAAAAACAGGACAGTCTAAAAGTATAAAACCAAAGTTCCTAGCTACAAATAGAGAGCAGGGTGTATGCAGTGCTGATGGAAGAGCATACACAGAGAAATGTTAAGTGTGGGGAGAAAGCGAAATTGGACAATGACCAGGCAGAGACTAAGTGGCTTAATTCTAAGAAAGAGGAAAATATGGTAGGAGGCAAGGAAAAAGAAATGAGGATAGTGTTACTCAGAGAAACTATATAGTCTGATTACTCCAGAGAAAGAGAGAGAGAAAGGTAGTGGTGGAGGTGTAGAATATACATCTAGAGAATAGATTAAATGTGACTGTTTAAGCAAACCAATGACCAGTCCAGCAGAGGGGAGGGATACAAATGAGACAAGGGAAAATATATCTGAATAAAAAGAATTGAATTAGAATTAATCTATAATTAATCACAGCAGTGCATCCATGTAGATCTTGCCCCAGGCTCCGGTTAAAAAAAAAAAGGGGGGGCGCCTGGGTGGCTTAGTCAGTTAAGCGTCCGACTTTCGCTTGGGTCGTGATCTCGCGGTTCGTGGGTTTGAGCCCCGCGTCGGGCTCTGTGCTGACTGCCAGCTCAGAGCCTGGAGCCTGTTTCAGTCTGTGACTCCCTCTCTTTCTGACCCTCCCCTGCTCACGCTGTCTCTCTCTCTCTCTCCTAGAAATAAATAAAACATTAAAAAAAAAAAAATTTATAAAAAAAAAAAAAAACAACTCTCTAGCGGGGATGGGCATGGTTTGGTGTAGGCAGGTGTTAGCCTCCACTGCAGTCCCCGCCAGCCACTCCCTGAGGTCCCACCTTGGTGGTTGTGGGGAGCAAAATGCCGGTGCCCCAGTTCCCTCTGGAACCAAGTGCCATAAATCACTCCCTTGGGTCCGGTCTCCTTGTGCCTTGGGTGCAGCCTAGTTAGGCCATGTTCTGTGTCCCAAACCACACCTCGTTTCCAGGTCCTTGTTCACTTGCTTTATTGATACTGCCTAAAACACAGTCTCACAGGTCAGCTGCCTCCCTGCCACCAGGGGTTGAGCTGGGGGAGTGGCGGTGCAGTCTCAGGTGGGCCACTGCCGAGGTCGAGCAGGGGGAGCAGCGATGCGACCTCAGGTGGGCTGCTTCCCGCTGCTGGGGTTGTGGGAGGCGGAGGGGCAGGGGGGTGTCAAGCTGGGGGAGCAGCAGAGCTGTTTCTCCTGGCGCCACCTGGGACCCAGGGCATCCAGTTCAAAGCATCCCAGCTAGAACTAAGAACACTCTCCGTCCGAGCCAAGGTTTTTCTTTTCTCCAGGGACAGTTCTATGAGCATTTTCAGCCGCTCGTTCTTTTCCCCTCACCAGGGCTCCCTCCCACCATATCTCCGGTCCTGGCCAGCTTTTATCTTCCCCAGTCCCACTCACATACTTATGAGGTTGCCTTCCCAGTGTACTCTCTTTTTCTTCCCAAACTCCTGCGGCTTAGTGTCTTATAGCTTCAGGCCTTCTCTGTTTGAGAGATGGGGGCTAGCAAAATGCACCGAGCTCTCTGCTTCTCTGCCATCTTGCCTCCCTCTCCCCTTAAAATTTTTTTTTTTAATGTTTGTTTATTTTTGAGAGAGAAACAGAATGCAGGCTGGGGAGGGGCAGAGAGAGAGGGAGACACAGAATCCAAAGCAGGTTTCAGGCTCTGAGCTGTCTGCACAGAGCCCAGTGTGATACTTGAACCCACGAGACATATCTCATATCTAATGACCTGAGCCGAAGTCAGACACCCAACTGATTGAGCCACCCAGGTGCCCCCAACCTATGTAATCTATGCTAAATCTCAAGACTATCCTAAATTTACTGAAGACATTGGCTGATGATGTTTTTTCATGTATCAGACTAAAATCCCAATGCTGGACTTTCAGTATAGCTTTAGTTACCAGTAATGGATTCCTCTCTTTTTTCTGTTTTTTTTTTTCTTAATTGATAATATAACATTACATTAGGTTCAGGTGTACAACATAATGATTTGGTATTTGTATATATTGCAAAGCGATCACCACAATGTTTGGTTAGCATCCATCATCATACATAGTTACAATTTTTTTTTCTTGTAAGAACTTATTAAGATCTACTCCCAACAGTATTCAAATATGTAGTACAGTATTATTAACTGTAGTCACTAGGGTGTACATTACATCCCCTGGACTTTTAACTGGAAGATTGTACATTTTGACCACCTCCACCCATTTTGCCAACCCCACCCCCTGCCCCCAGCCCAATAATGTTCTCTGTATCTGAGTTGATTTTTTGTTCTATGTGGTCTTTTTACCAAAGAAATAGTAAAAAGTACATGATTTAAGTACTGGTCAGTTTGGAAAATGATTTGCTAAAAACGTTTTTCTTTAAGTTTTTTCATAAGCCTCTGACCTGTATGAATATTTTTTTGTTTTGTTTTTGAAAAAAGCTAAACCTTTATTTCAAATTTAGGTTAGAAGAAGAAGAAAAGTTTTTAAATGCTGAAAGTTACTATAAGAAAGCTTTGGCTTTGGATGAGACTTTTAAAGATGCAGAGGATGCTTTGCAGAAGCTTCATAAATATATGCAGGTGATTCTTTATTTCCTCTTAGAAATTTAGTGATATTTGAAAGTAATACCAAAACTTAACTTTCTTCTAGGGAAAACTATTCTAGATTACTTAGTTAATCTTTTTAGATACAGCTTTTCCTAATTGGATTTAACATTGTTTCATAGTGCTTCTTCCTTTTTGTTGGTACTCAAAAGTAAAAATAGCCCTATGAGAAAATTCCTACTACCTACTTGTGGTATGTGGTTTTGGGAATTGTCCTTGTAGTGCGCTTTCTTCATAGTTACAAATTCAGTGTTGTTGCTATAATTGAGTTAATTATAAAAACCTCTTTGAGAAATATTTTAAACTATCTTTTCCTGTAATACTGATGATAATGTTTTCTCATGCATTTTCTTCTGAATTGGACCATTGCTGCTGTGTCTGTGACATCTGGTGCTGCTCATCCCCATCCTCAAACTGGAAAATGATTTCTTATGTAATCATGCATCCAACTGGGCTGTGCTATTTTTAAATGGTTTGTATTTGAACATGGTGATACCCCTCAATTCACCTCAATGGAATTTATTTGAATTTTATTTATAAAATTTGTGTCCTAAATTTCTTAATTTTTTTTAAATTAATTTTTCACGTATTATATATTTTATTTTTTTCCCTTTCTTGCACTCTGGGTCATGGGTACCAATGCAATGGCTTCCCCTTTTTTCATGGACTACCAACTGCAATATGGTCCTCAATGCTGTTCTGGCTCTTCCAATGATTAATGCCAAACACATGTATGATTAATTTTTATATGTTAAAAATATTTCATTAATGCTGGATATATGGTGATTTGGGTATACCCCATTTGATTTCCGGCTTGGGGGTGGGTGGTCTTTTGAAAACTTGGTTTTATGTATTCTGCTATTTTTAACGTGTGGTTTTTTCCGATATCTGGGTTCTAAAAGAAATCTTTGGAATTAAGAGAAAAACAAGCTGAAAAGGAAGAAAAGCAGAAAACAAAGAAAATAGAAACAAGTGCAGAAAAGTTGCGTAAGCTCTTAAAAGAGGAGAAAAGGTAAACTATAACATTCAGTATTTTTTAACTTAAAGCAACTGCTGAGTTGAACCACAGTGCCATATGGAGGTAAAGTAAGTAAAAAAAAAAAAAAAAAAAAAAAAATGTTGAGTCATAATAAGTGATACTTTGTAAGTATATATACCACAAGTTTTTCTGTGAAAGAAATTAAGGAAAGTGGCATCTAAAGGTAGAATTCCGTAAAAAAAAAAAAAATTAGGATTAAAATCTATAATAAGTTTTAATTATTTGTGTTTTAGAGAGAAATGTTTTAGAACTAGAGCAATGGTTCTCAACTGGGGGCAGCTTTAACCTACCCACCCCCTTCCCGCAGATACATTTTGGTCATCATAACTGTGGAGTAGTACTAGCATATAATGGCTAGAGGTCTGGGATGGCTGCTGAACATCCTGCAGTGATGTTGTTGGATACTCCCCACCATCATCCTACTTTCCCAACAAATTATTATTCAGCTGAAAATACCAATAGTGTTGAGGTGAAGAAACCTCATATATTACAGCTAGCCAGATGTAAAATTTCAGTTCTCTTCTTTATGTGTTCAGACGGGCTTAAGTTTTTTAGATAATGTTGGAAATGTGACTGTCTTCAGAAATGATGGATTTACATTCAGTGACAACTGTCTACACAGTATTTTTTCCCAAAGTCATGCCTTCTGGTAAAATTGGACCTTGTAGTAACTAAGATTATTACAATAATTGCTTATCTAAGCCATAGATTTTAGGAAACTTTTAAGGAGAACAAAATAGAACTAAAATCTTTATAAATAATTAAGAAACATATTTGTACTTAATATATCTGATGGGTTAACTATGTTTTTTAGGCTAAAGAAGAAAAGAAGAAAATCAACTTCTTCTTCAAGTGTCTCTTCTGCTGATGAATCTGGTTCTTCATCATCATCTTCCTCCTCCTCTGGTCACAAAAGGCATAAGAAACATAGGAGGAACCGTTCAGAGTCTTCTCGAAGCTCCAGAAGGCATTTAGCTAATAAGGCATCCTCAAGTCAGATAGATCAGAATAGGAAAGATGAGTTCTTCCCAGTTCCAACCAATACTTTAGCATCTTTTCTTAACCAAAAGCAAGAAGTGGAAAAACTACTGGAAAAGCAGGACAGGTTACCATATCAAAAGAAACAGGTAAAAGAGAAAGATAGATGCCCTGTCTCTTCATCTTCAGTTGAAATTCCGGATGATTTTGGAGGTAGGTCTGAAGATCCAAGAGATTTTTATACTCAGGCAAGTAGTAGCAAAACCGAAAAACCATATAAATCAGAAAAACATTTCTCCAGTAGAAGAGATTCCTCAGAGTCCTTTTATAGGAATTCAGAGGACAAGGTGAAAACTTACGGTTACAGAAGATTTGAAAAAGATACAGAGGGAAGAAAAGAGCATTGTAGAAGGTGGGAGCCAGGTTCCGTGAGGCACTCCACTTCACCAGCCAGCTCATACTACTCTTATAAATCAGTTGAAAAATATAAAAAATATCCTTATTCTGGATCACGTGATTTTGGTAGGCATGAACAAAGATACCAATTAAATAAAAATCAAGGAGAATATGATATAGAGGATAATTACGAGGAGGACATTAAAACAGAGGTTCCAGAAGCAGATGAACTAAATAGCAAAGAGCAGTCAGAAAGTGGAGTTAAAAAAAATTTACCTCAAAATTTACTCAATATATTTAATCAGATAGCTGCATTTGAAAAAGAAAAAGGAAATAAGCCAAAAAATTAATATGCCAATGGAATTAGCACTGTTACACAAAAGGCTGTTAATGAGAGTTTTGGGTCTTGTAGTCCAGTGCAGAAATGTCTGCTCCAAAAGCTATTTTATTTGTAGAGATTGCAGAAAGCAAATGCTTTTCAGCTATTCTCAAAGTATTTTTGTTTCAGTTGTGGGTGTCCTTCTCACAGCTTGATTTTTAGGCTTTTCATGTGTATTTCATGTGTACAGTATTTCTTACTGTGATGATTTAAACTTCACCTAAAGATAATTCTCAAAGTGTTGCTTCTTCACTGTATTAAAGTGTATGAGAATTTCTTGGGTCCATCTTATCCTGCTGTTTGAAAGAAAATTAAATTTGTTCATTGAACACTTGGATTGTTTTCTTCAAAAATTATTTATGGTATTTTCTGTTAAACTCTTTTCCCTCAGCTTTTGAAAGATATCTACAGTATTTGGTTGTTCCTTACATACTTTTTTTCACTGATCATTTATTTGAGTACAATTTCTGTATAACTTCTAAGATTATACATAGATTGTCTTGCCTAAACAACCTCTGAAGCTTGACTTAATTAAAAATGGTGTGTGCACCAGCTTAGGAATAAAGCCATGAAAATTGAATAGGAGCCCATTTTGCTTATTTCTCTCACTCTTTTTTTTTTTTAACCTTATTAGCAGGTTAAGAGATTTCTTAAGTATTGGCAAGACACTTAGAGACTATGTTCCAGGCAAGAATACATCAGAATAAAAAAGAATCCTTTTAGCAAAAACAGCAGTGGCAATAGAAGCACACTGTAAGTCTGCTTTTCTCCTAAGGGTAAGAAAATTCAGAAACTGTCCTAGTACTGCATGTGTTCAGCTGGGAAGGCACTGGGCATGTTTTAAATTAGCCTAGAACTGGCCTGCATGTCTTCTTTTCTTAATCTCTCTCTCTTGATGCTTCCCTTCATGCCACCTTTCATAGGTCTGAATAAATGACTAGGTCAACAAACCCTGGTTTTACTCCGATTAAATTCTAGCAACTAGAGCTGAAGAAGTGACTTGGATCTAAAGATCCTCCCAAATTTGAAAACAGATTTGGAAATAGAGGATTCATTTATAATGGTCTTTAGAATCTTTCCAATTTCAGATTCTAGACACTATAAATGACAATAGACCTTCAATGCTATCATTCTAAGTCACTCTTACTAAGTATGTACTGTTTGTGGCCTCCAGACTTCAGCATTGGGAGCCTAATGAAAAAGCTAAAGTTTGTTTTGCAGTTGAACAGAGAAAAACTGGTCAAAAATCATAGTTGATAGCAGTAGAAAGGTCACTCAGACATTCATCTTTGTACCAAAAAGCTCATCTTAAAAGAGTCTGTGGCTCTTTCTGTGTAGCTCCTATAACTTCTGTACAGTCTTACATAGTGGTTTTTGTTAAGCATGAAAACTATATTAACATAGTCTTTGACCTTTAAGAATTGCTAGTACATCTTTCGTATTTTACTTATGCCATTTTATGTACTATAATCTCAGTATCACTGTGAACCCGCATTGTAATTGTCCAAGGTGTCTTTGTGGCTTAATGTTACATTCAGGATTGTGCGGTTCCTATGTGTTAGGCCCTGTACATTTTGTATATATTATTTATTTCAGTAAACTTGTAAGTAACTTACTGTCTCAGTATAACAAATAAGGAAAGAAGTACAGAGAAGTAACTTTCCCAAGATCACAGAGCTAGTAAGACAATCCCTGCCTCCTTAGAAGATAGTGTTTAATATTGAAATGCAAGTTGTAAGTAATTTACAAAGTAATAGAGGACAGAGAATAAGAGCTAGTGAACATACAAAGTGACCATAAAATTAACCCGGTTTTAGAGCTCATAAATCTCATGCATTTAGAACTATGTTTTACAAAAAAATATTATTCATCAGACTTGGCTATACTGTTTCCTGGCTATTTCTAAAAATAATAATAAAATATTCAAATAATGATCAGGAAAAACAGGTTTATTGCCACTACTACCTTTCAAAAGGAACTGCAAATGACACTTTTAAACAATGACAACTGTCATAAATACTTCCAAGGTTTGAAGGAGAAACACTGTCCATTAAAATACATAGATTCTAATACATTTATATAAAAGCCAGTTTTATGACAATCATAATCCACATTCTGTTCTAAGAGTACAGAAGTGTTGGGCACATGTTATATAGTAAAGTACAAATTGAATAACTAATTCTAAATCTGGTGGGACACCTCCACTAAATTTGTGGAATTCTTATTGCAAATCAAATCACCCCTAGCTCTCTTTGTTTACTAAATCAAGAAAATCTTAGGGGAAAAAAGTCTTAAAATACATTCTTATTCTTTATGCTTGGTTGTATCTTGAGAGTAAAATGTTTAATGTGTTTGACTTCTTTCAAGATCAGAGTTGAGTAATTTCTAGGAAATTAGACTGCATTTTTATTGACACAGTGCTCTTTTCCTATTCATTGTTTTCTTTGGGGGGGTGCGGACGGTGGGGAATGCTATATTTCTTTTGGTTAAGTTTTAGAATCATATCAAAAGAAGACGCTAACAGACTTCTCCCCCAGAAGTCCAAAAACCTGTTTCTTTGAATAAAGAAAATTTAATTTCAGGATTTTTTAGGGTAAGTGAGAATTTTAGTGTTATAAACTATTCATAGACAGTGAATCTTCATAAATGGCCAGAAAGATTGTGTTACATTAGAATTGAGTGTAGTTTCGTGGCTAGCGTGAAATAATGAAGTAAACTATTTACTAATGTAATATCAAAAGAACAGTGAAAAACATAATTTTCTCTATATGCTTATAGAACATGTGGCCTTGTTAAGAATCTGCTATTGCTGCTTTCCTTTGAAGAAAAAAGTATGGCAAAAGCTAAGAAAATTAAATGTTTCTTTGACGTATTTGGACCTAAATTGCTTGACTTTTTTTTTTTTTTTTAACCATCAGCTTTCACATCTTTCACTGGATAAAACTTTTGTCTAGTCATTACGTATTTCTAAACACGATTTCAGTAGGCCTCGATCATAACATTACACAGCACCCAAAAGCATAGGGGAGAGTCATTATTTTAAAAGATTTTTTTGTGTTTACAGCTTCTATAAAAGAGATTAAAAATGTTTATTTGCGGCCCTTTTTGTTTTTACCGTTACTGGAGATATTGGTAGCACTTGTTGGCCTATTACTTCCGTTGCTAGTTCCTGGAGAAGAGTCTGGGAAGTTCAGCTCTAATACTTTAACTGAAGTCTGAGAAGCAGAAGTACTCGTACTTCTGGATGATCTAGAGAGGGAAAAAAAAGCAAAATTTTAATTTAGTAGAGACCCTCTCACTAGTAGCAAATGATACCATAATCCCCCAAGAAAATAAAGAGATCAGAAAGTATATATATTCTTAATAGTACTACTAAATTTTAAAAGCATAACCCTTAAAAGAATTAAAGAAAAAAGGTAAGAATATAGAGTTTCAACTAGTTCAACAAATCTGAAAAAAATATTTTCAACTATAATCATTTTAGAAGTGGAACCATTAAGCATTAAAAGTTTTGCAACAATCATTAAGTGTGAAAGATAAAAGAAGAGAGCCATGGGAATTTGGGTGCTGGCAAGAATAACTATAATAATAGGTTATGTAATTTAAGATAAGAAAATGAGAGCCCTATTGACAGGATAAAGGGGGGGGGTCATTTGAAAAGCATAACTATAGAATTCTGAAATGCTAAGTTTTAAAAATATGAAAGTACAGCAATGTTCAGGTGACTGCTTCCCATGTTTAGAAACAGTTTTGTTTTACTTAAACATAATGTTTTCTGATGTTCCCTTTTTCTGAAAACTCTATGGGGACTAATGAAAAGCAAATAGCTACTGAGTGTAGGAGATTAGAAATTTTAAAATTAGGATTATCATTAATTTCATTTTGTCAGCAAAGTACAAGAGTGTTGGTTAAACATCTATCTACCTGATAGAATTCTGGATAAAACTAAACTGCCAAAGTAAAGAATCATTTTCTTGTTGGAAAATCAGCAAAAACAAAGTATAATTCTGACTACTTAAAAATGTATAATGTGGTTTTAATTATAAAAATCATACTCCAGGGGCGCCTGGGTGGCTTAGTCGGTTAAGCGTCCGACTTTCGCCTAGGTCATGATCTCGCGGTTCGTGGGTTCGGGCCCCGCATCGGGCTCTGTGCTGACTGCCAGCTCAGAGCCTGGAGCCTGTTTCAGTCTGTGACTCCCTCTCTCTCTGACCCTTCCCTGCTCACACTGTCTCTCTCTCTCTCTCTCTCTCTCTCCCCCCTAGAAATAAATAAAAAAACATTTAAAAAAAAAAATCATACTCCATATGTTTGTACATATAAGTTGCCTTTTTGTGGTTTAAAAAATTCTCCCACTCAGGGTTGACAATGCAAGATGTAACCTGCAGAATTTCATTCTGTTATCATACCGAAGTAGCTGGTAGTCCCAAAGCACTCCATTGCTCTAATAGGAACTGACATCAGACAGAAATCAGAAGGAAAGAGTCTTACTCTGCTGGCTTTTTCTGCATATGTGACACTGACCTAGAAAGGTGGGTAACGGTAAGGACAGCAAGGGCAGTTCCAATGGCTCTGTCTCTGTTTGCACAGGATAGAGGGTTATTAATGAGATGGTTTCTAACCATCCACTTACCTTGCTGATAACAGTGAAGTCTGTGAAGTAGATCTAGAACTCTGGCGACTGCCTTTCCTACCAGCGGTAGGTAGTTCTAAACCATTCTGGAAGAATAGTCAACAGCAATCATTAGTACCATTGCATTTTCAGAAGAGTATTTTTAGACTTCACTTTACGATAAGTGCCAGAAACTTTATTTCATGAAGTATTCAAAAAACATTTTTAACTAGAAGGTGGTTATTACCTGCTGAAAATATGTTTGAAGGATAATACGGATGTCAGCATTTTCTTCTGTGACATTGACTAGCATTTCATCAATGGTCTTGTGGAACTGTTTCACTTCACGAAGTTTGATGTCTTGTTCTTCTAGTGTTTCATCTTTTGTGTCTTTCAAAAGTCGGATTTCCTTGGTGAGTTTTGCACACTGTTGGTCAATAGTAGTCAATTATTATTTAAACCTGTTTTCCAGAACTTAATATATTTTGATGGATGGATGAAGGAAGATCTGGAGTTACCATTTGGAACTCCAAAAAATACAAATATGACAGGTCAGTTTTTAAAAAGACAGCAATACCTGTTTAGTTACTCTCTCTAATTTTGGCTTCTGCTCTTCGGTTTCTCGATTTAGCTGTGATGAAAAAGCCTGCTTCTCTGATAATTTTTCTTGGACGTTATTTGTTAAATGTTCTATAACTTCTAAAGTATTTTCCATGCTCTGCAGAAAATAAAGTGTTAACGTACTTACTGGTTAGAATCAATAACTTACAACTTGCCAATTTTCAAGTATTCATTTAATTTAAAATTCATTTATTTTATATAAAGCTTGCTTACCAAGCACATTGTTTTCTCTTTCAGTAATGTGGTTTACTAACTGTTCTACCAGATTATTTTTATCTTTCAAATTTTATTTAAGTAGCAATCTTTAAGGTGATCTTTAAGGAATTAAACGAAATAAAAATTTATTAAAGTTAAGAGATAACCAGCTATAAATTCATCAGCTAATTAATTAATCATTATCAGCAGTCCTTCCTGTGCTTAGTATTGTGATTTTAATTAATTTATTTAATTCTTTGGTCACTTTTTTCTCATTTAAATGAGACTTTTACTCTCTAAAATAATTGTCTTCTTTGTACAAGATAACGAGACAGCTCTAATAATAATGACAGTTAACTTTTACTAAGGACTTATTACCAAAGCCTGTAGAATTTACCTGGATATCTTCCTGTAGTTCCCTGATTTGTCTTTGTTTGTATCTGTATTTTTCATCAATAGCTCTTTTTTTTTCTTCTAGTTGGATTTTTAGTTCATACTCATCACCTAGAATTAGAGAAATCTTAGTTTAAATTTTTAACATAATTGTGTAGAAAGCAAGCTTCAAGTATTCTATACATTAAACTTCTAACATTTTTTGTAATAGGTTAAATTCTTTGTCTACTTAGTGAAAAACAATTTGGTCATGTAGTAGCCATTCTTGTTTTGTCAACATAGAGCAGCCAATGTGCTGCAATTTTCTTCACATTTGAAATTCCCTAGAGAAGTGATATTGAGTATCACCAGAACTAATAATGGAAATAACACCTTAGCCCTTATTTTAAAGGGGGGAGGTGATTAGTTTTTATGACTCCATCAAAGATGGTACATTTTTGTTTTCCTTGCCTCACAATGTTCCTCTTTTTAAAATAAATAGCTAAAACTTTAACTGCATATATTCATAAAAAATTTTAGTAACTCCCACATACTAGATGGAGTCACTTTTTTAAAAGACTGTTTGTAATTGTTGTTGCAACTTCTCAGCACTTGCAAGGTGTTTCCTAGAGCATAGATTTCTTTTTCAGCTTTGTTGATCTTAGCATCCAAACTGTCACCTTCCCTTTGAAGTTCTTCTTTTTCTTGAGCAGCCTATGAAATACAAAATAGAACTGACTAAATAAAATTATTTATTATGGGGGAGAATGTCTGTTTTCAGGGCAAGAAATAGTTTACTCACAATACCAATTTACCTTGGGGCCTACAAGCAGCATCAAGCATTTATTTCTTGTACTTGATATAGAGTAGAAGACTAAATCCCCAAGACCTTTGAAATATAGCACATAGGATACAAACTGTGATGGAAGTGTAGCAACTAACCAAAGTTTACATTAAAGACTTTACACAAAAATTACCAGAAAGTTAACCAGGTATAAACTTTAGTGAGAAGAGATAGGGTTAACTTGGAGGTGGCTTCAGACTAGATATTCAATTAGGAGTATGTATGTTTCTAGCCCGAAAGAGGTTTAGGAATACTTTCTCATTTTAAGTCTTAGGGATAAAAGTGGTAAGCAAGGTACACTTAGGAAAGTAAATGCTTATTATTTCCAACCCAGGATTTCAACATCTTTTAACAGTTAAGTAACACTAAAATCTGAGCACTCACTCCAACAGCACATACTAAAATCAGAAATAGAAAAAGTTAGCATGACACTTGCATAAGAATAACGTGCAAATTTGTGAAGCACTCCATATTTTTAAAAGAAACACTGCATGATTCTACTTACATGAAGTGCCTACTATAGTCAGATTCACAGACAGAAGGTAGCATGATGGTTGCCAGGGGTTGAGGGGAGGGGAAAATGGTGACTCTGTTTAATGGGTAGAGAGTTTTAGTTTGGGAAGATGAAAAAATTCTGGAGATGGATGTTGGTGTTGTTTGCACAACAGTGGGAATGTACCTAATACCACTGAACTGCACATTTAAAAATTGTTAAAACGGCCAATTATATGTATATTTTACCACATTTTAAAAATTAGAGAAAGATAATTGCTAAATGTGGCTGGGGGGAAATGCAGTCTATAAATTGCTGAAAAACAAAAATTCCTCAGTAGTGGACATACTCAGTAACTTTTTCCAGCTTAACTCTGTCACTGGGCTAGGGTGTCTAGAGTTGAATCCAAAAAGTTTCAAGAATCTCTCTCATTAAAGGTTGACAGGGATAGTTTGTGCATGTGTGCGTGTGCCAAAAGACATCTTTAATCAAAATCAACTAATAATTTGTTAATTTGTTCAATCCCTAGGTATGTGTATTTAAACCAGAAAGTGGTCATTTAAAAAATGATTGGTAATTCTTTAACTCATAACATTTTCACTTGTATTTATTATGCTTCAAAATATGTTACACATATTTTTGTAGTAAATAGTACATATTAAAAAATATAGCTTAGCAAAAAAAAGTCTTAGATAAATTGTAATCCCTGTACATTGAATATAGAATTGGCAA